GACAGGTGTCAATCGAGCCGAGCCGAAGGCAAATGCTGCGGCTCCATTGAATGCTGCGGCTCGATTGACACCTGTCATGGGCGGTTGTAATAACTGATCTGCGTCCTCAAATGACCTGGGGATGCTGATCTGTCATTAAACAATAACAACTAGGCGGAGCCATCACGGCCAGCTCCGCCCAGTTGTTATTCATTGGCCGCGACCTGCTAGAAGACTCTAGCAGGTGCCAGCCAATAGGAAACAGTTAAGGAGGTACCTTTCAACGCTATCTGCGCCCAAATGTTTTTTTTTTCTTAGTTTTTAATTTTTTTAATTTGACTATTTGTTTACATTTTTTACATAGTTTTCCAACTATTTTTTTAAACTTTCTTTTCACTTATTTTCTATTCTGCTCGGTACCACGGAGGTACCAAGCAGAATAGATGAGCCGAAAGCAACTCGGTGACATTCGGCTTTTGACTCACTGCTGTCCGGTCCCTATACGAATAGGGGCAAACGGCAGCGAGTGAGCTGCCAGAGCTTCGGCTCAGCCTATCCAGATGTTGGATCAGCTGAGTCGAAGTCCTTCTGAAATGCAGAGCATGTTCAGCTGACCGAAGACAGCCAATGTACGGCTGAAATCAGCTGTACTGAGCCGGAGTGAATAGCACAACGTCATTCGTCTCACTTCACTTCGGCTGGGTTTTTCACTTGGCTGCCTTTGGCAGCATTGTGAATAACCCCCTAAATGTTTACATATAGTTATCTAGTTTCTATCACCAGCAATTGTGTTAAGTTGTAGCGCTCCGTCTTTGTTTTTTTCAGTAATTGTGACTGCCCTGCCAGAACTGTTGGTGTGATGTTGGTGGCAACTCTCAGGCTTGGTGTATGTATTCCTCATTTGATGATTTCTCTGGCTTTACGCCCACCAGAAGTCATAGTGGAATCATGGTGTATAACATGCCATACAGCATTTTGTAGCCAATTCATGTATATGATCCTTTATATCATCAAAAGCCAACTGTAAAATAAATGTCAGTTTAAATTATGTTAGCTTCTTTTGCAAAATGGCCGGCAAACATAGCGAAAGACATTATTTGTGTTAAAAGGGAATAGAGGATTTTTTTTTAGAGACTTTGAAGAAGGGATTAGACAGGAAATGTAACGAATGCAGCAAAACTACATTTGATCTGACATAGTATGCGTTACAAATGTCTTCATATGACATCATACCTGGTGACCCCTGCCTGGACTGATATTGTAGCAGACCCAATATGGTTTTGGTGCCTGGTGCCATTTTCAATAGCTTCCTCCTTAACTACTGGTGGCAGAGCCGATGAACATTGAGTTGTCAGCAGCTTACACTACATCATAAAGCTGACCTTGCACTTCACACAAGGTTTCATTTTTTTTGTGCTTTCTTCCCCTTCCTAAAACACTATTTTAAACTAACACCTGTAGGGGAAAAAAGTTAGATGATATACTTACCTTTCCTCTGACCTTTAGAGTGCAGGAGGTGATGTCACCATCCTGCCAAAATCCTGGGGATCAGGATTGTCTTCTCGGCAAGATTTAAGCTAATCAATGTTCCCAATGTTCACCGGACGGGTAGAAGTCTGGGAAAAGGTAGGTATATAATCTAACTTTTTCCCCACAGATGTTATTTAAAGTCTAATTTGGTTTTTCAGCAATTGTGAAGGGGGCACAAAGTAGACCTTACTATTTGAGCGTGTAGCCAGTGCTACAATGTAGCTGTAACGTCGGAGCATAACGTGATTGACTCAGAGGTAAGTGTGATGCATTATATCATTTAAAATATTGATTTCTGAATTTTGGGTAAGAAAAGTTGGGGGCGTCTTTTCTTATAGACAGAAAAAAAAAGTTATATTATCTAACTTTTTCCCCACAGATTTTTATTATGGGTCTTTCAGCAAGGAGAAGTGGGGGAAAGCACAAATCAGACCTTGCAAAGTCCACTTTAATGTACCCTAAATATTCGCAATACTTTAGAGGTTGCAAACTTTGAAACAGCAAAATTGTTTCTTTTCATCACTGCTTGAAGTAACAAGAAAGAGAAGATCGTCTGTAAGAAAGCACCACATACCGCTAACATCACCATATATAGATACTTTATTCATACCAGAAGCCAACATAGTGTTGTCCCTGCGTGCAGGCGCCCACCTCTGATGGGCTTAATCGTAGAGACGTGGGTGGTCATAGGAGGGATCCTTATATAGACAGTTCAACAGCGGAGTGGTGACGTTCCTCTGCATTTCATACAAGAAAGAGAAGATGCTTCAGACAACATAATACATTTCATAGACCTCCGCTGACTACTCTGCTTCGCTTCTGACATTTGCAATTACAGTTTGACACACACGCTCCTCTGTGGGCTGCTTGACCTCATCCACCTTCTGGTTTAAAACTACTTTTCCTATCTGTGTTGGAATTCTCAGCTTCCCTTTAGCACATCTTCATTTCTGTCCCTGTTGAACTCATCTTGTATATTTATCCTGATAACCCCTGTATTATGTTCTCAGAAGGAGTAATTGGAGAATGGTAACTAACAGCTCAAAGCTTGCCACTAGAATACATTTTTTGCTGGTTTGACTTCACTTAAAGTATATCTAAAGGCAAAACCTTTTTTGTTTTGGATAAAGTAAATTAAAACCCCTGTCATTTGTATATGCCTGTGTCCTTTAGAATTGATTTTCCTTTACTTTCTGTCTCAAGGTACAACAAGAAATGAGATCTCCCCAAAGGAAAGCAAATCCTCCCCTTAGAAAGTTGTAACTGGAACACATATTTTGGACTTTCTCTTAGTTCCAGGACACTTTATCATGACAGTTTGAATAAACCTTCCCAGCAGGGACAAAGACAGCATTTAAATCCTGTTAAACCTTCCTCACTTTATTTAAAACACAAAAATTGGCTTAAGATACACTTTAAGTAAATTCTAATAAGTCGCTATGGGTAAAAGGATTTCTCAATGAATTTGTTTTTTTTGTACAGTGTTTCACACTTACCTGCTGAAAAGAACTCTCCAAATGTGCCATTACATAAGGTTAGAAGAATTCCCGGGACCCATCTTCTACCCCTCACAGCTATAGCCCTATGGTGCTTGCCTTATTAGAACCTAGAATGTACTCTAAAATGGAACAGGAATACAGGTCCACACAGAAGTGGATTGGTGGATGTGTGCTTTTACGTGTAGAACAAGTGAAGCAGGAATACAGTGTGAATATACAGGAAAAATGAGGGGTTGACCAAGCAGAGTTTTGGAGCATTTGAGCACCTGAAGGACACTCAGTGTAGGGGTAGGTGTGTGGTGAAAGAAAAAAAGATAGAAGATAAAGTTAAAGCTGTCTATGGATAGCTATAGGATAGGGAATATAGGATGCACTGTATCTATTAGACACGGGGAGCTAGATGTTTGTGTTGGGGGGTTAACCATTCAAGAACTAAAATTAAGAAAGAGGATGCATATCTGTGTCCCTGCGAGATATGGACGGCAGGCAAAAATATATTTGCTTTTTTTCTAAACCTACTGTATAAGGAGTCCTCTGAAATGCTGTTTGATTTTCCAATCCTTTTTCAACAATTTTACCCTAGAGAAACTCTAGAAATAATTTTCAGGTCTGAGGGAACCACTTCTAAAATAATTTTATGTATAGCTCATGTTATTTTACGCTGATCAGCAAGTTTATAGAATGTTTATTATGAAAGAACAATGATCATGGCATACCTAGAGTATTTGACACCCGGGACCGAATATTTTTCAACACCCTCCCCCTTCACCACATGACAAAAGTGTTATCAGTATTCATGAAATGCAGTGAATAATAATAATTGGTAAAAAAAACCTGCACACAGTAAAACATTAGTATCATCGGGCTCTAATGAATAAATGTGTGAAGAGGCTCTGAGTATTCTTGTTCTCAGTAACCCACAATGGGGTAGATTTTCTCCTTTGTAGAAATTGGAAGACTTGATGAGGCTGCTCCCAGGAGGACAAGAAACTCTCAAAAAAGAGGATGGGGGGTCTCCAGTAAATTCAACCGAAAAAGATTGTAGCACCCTCATCTGTTCTTGAGTGTACACTAATGGTCAGTATCTTGCCCCTTGTATTGGTGGTCAGTGGAGAAGTGCTCCCTTACTTTGGTGGTTAGTGGACAATTGTTACCTTTTATTGGTGATCAGTGGAAAAGTGCTCCCTTACATTGGTGGTCAGTGGAAATTCCCCTCTTATATTGGTGATTAGTGGAAACGTGATCCCTTACTTTGTTGTACCCTTACATTGCTGGTGAGTGGAAAATTGCCCCCCTACATTGCTGGTAAGTGGGAAATTGCCCGCTTACATTGCTGTCAGTGGAAAATTGGCCCTTTACATTGCTGGTCAGTGGAAAATTGCCTCATCTGTGACCAGCAATTACAGGTGATCAATCCATCAGTGCTCACTTGTCAAGGAACACCTAGCAACCTTTTAAGGTTGATTGATATTTTATAGAGATATATGGAAGACTCACATGTGGCATACAAAGTCGTTTCTGAGTACATTTCTGCCCAAATAGGATGCACATGATCACTGTTCTTTGCTTTTCTTTTTTAAATGTTCTGAGTGCATCCACTGTCCATTACCCACAGATTTCACACTTACACAGGAACATTCCACTATACAAGTACACAGTGACACACTATCTGAGGTTGTGGTAGCAGCAGCTGTTGGGTTAAGAGGCTGCTTACTCAGGCTCTGTCTGTCATTGCCTCATTTGCTGACAAATTGCTTAGATTTTGTACTCAGTAGGACATTAGAATACCGTCGCTAACTGCTGTAACATCATTTTTGATTAGAGTTAACGGTGATCCATCTCCGTCACTATGAAGGAAGAAGGGTGATGTTTTTGCATGGAAGTTCATATCTTAGTAATAAAACCAACCTGAGAAAAAGAAAATGTTGATCAAATAGAGGTGATCTCTAGGTATGAGGCTCACATACATGCATTATATTCATTCTGTTTCAGACACTGCCATAGTAAGGGACCAGGGATCGGGGATAGTTGGTATGACGATCCTGTGCCTGCTTACCCTGCAAGTAGGAGCTCCACTAAGGAACTAAGGAAGAGCGCCAAAAGCAGTAAGCAAAATATCAATATGTATTCACATTCTATGTAAATGCTTTTGTAAAGGTGTGTTTCAATTATGTGGCAAAAAGATGACTTCAACGGGAAAAATAGTGGTTCAGTATTTAGTTCTACTTTATAGTACCAGAATCCTGGGTTCAGTTCCCACCATGGTTCTTAGAATTATTAGTGTTAGTAAGTTCTATCTGTATTTATGATGGCCTTCTTAGGTGCTCTAGTTTAATTTAGAACTATGACCTCCCATATGTGCTGCAGAACTTAAAGGAGAACTATGGGGTTAGGGCTTTTCCCCATAGTTCTCCTTGTAACGGGAGGACACAAACTAGCGTCCTCCCGTCACCCTAAGCTCAGTATACCGTGAGCTACAGCTCGCGGTATACTGAGACGCCGCAGCTGAAGCGGATTCCGACAATTATTTCTGGATCCGCCCAGCTGCGTGAGTGACAGCTGGCTCTGCCTATCTAGAGGCAGAGCCACCTGTACCCGCCCCTCCCCTGTCTGTTCTGCCAGTCACCACTGGAGGATCGGAGCGGGGAGGGGGGAATCCAGTCCCTCCCCTGTCACGGCAGAGAGCCGTGACAGGATCGAGAAGTGAGCGAACGCCCGTATGTGTTCGCTCACTTCCCGATCTACTGAGCCAACCTGTGACAGTCTCATTGTCACAGGTCGGCTAGAACTATGAGGTGAGTGAAAATCAGTTCTCCTTTAATTAGAAGTTTTTACCCCATCGGCTTGAATTACACAGATAGCTTATATCAGTGCCATAGAGTTTCAGCTTTGCCAAGCATAGGCAGCTATTGTGGGGATGGTTGTGGAGGACACAGCGAGAGGAGAGAAACCCCCTTGAACCCCCTCAGTAATGTCCACACAAAATTTACTATTTAACTCATGAAGGTATGATTTCACTAGTACAGAAGGTGGATGACTTAGTAAAATAGCATTTGAGTAGCAGATGCCCAATTTGTTGGTTAACAAAATCCAGAAAACTGTTTTAGTTTTGTTTTTTTGTTCTTTTTTTGTGCACCACTGACTGATAGTCTTAGCATATGGTAAAGGTCAGTACTAGTTACTGTTAAAATCTAAAGGAGAACTCCAGGCAAGACACATCATTCAGCAAACAAAACACTAGAGCTGAATTGTAATGCTATAACAGCTATACGCTGTGCGAAAGACGTCCACACCTCATTAGTGCCACTAGATGGAGCCAAGGAGCTTAGGACTTTCCTGTGCTCCTCGGCTCCATCTAGGGGCAATAATGATGTGCGAACGTCATTCACATAACTGTGTTCTGCAAACTCATTGTAAATCATCTATGTAATTAGTGTTTTTTTTTATTTGGCCACAATTTTTATTCGGCTTTAAATGTGTTGCAACACCAAAACAGTAAGATTCCATTTTAATTTTTAGCTTCAGCTACACCAAAACCTATCCGTGCCAACATCTGGCATGTATTTCTGCTGTAGAGAGCAGTAGGTTTTCTTTTATTTCCTTCCCGTTTAAAAATCAGTAGACATTGGATGGAGACTAAAAAGTTAAAGTGCAGGTACTTCTACAGCTGACAGTACCTACCATGCACAGGTTGTTTTGTCAAGGCTGGAGCTTTCCTTTCATCGTAGTTAGTTTTAGTTCATCGTAGTTAGTTTTAGTATCTAGTTAGTTTGTGTTGTGAACTGTGTATTTTGTTGTCTAAAATCCTGTTACACACCCCTAAGCCCCTGACTGATGTATGACCTTAGAGATGCTGATCCCCATTTTCAATGGTGTTTTCCAATAATCCTATTTAGGAGGAAGCTGTAAATGTCATGTTTCTGTGCATGCAGGTTACTCAGATGTGAAGGAAGAGGGTCTGGAGGCTCAGATTAACCGACTGGCCGAGCTGATCGGGAGACTGGAAAACAAGGTGATTCATTCTGCTGTGAATAAGGTGCTGTGTGCGGTGATAGATCTGTGCACGCTGGCTCATGCTGGTTCACAAGCCATGACTGTGTGTGATGAGATATGACATAGAGCAGTTGGGTCACTGTGGCTGTGCATTAGATTGACATATCTGAATCCATTTCCCAATAATTTTACTAATCTTATGAGGACTGCTAAATAGTTTTCTCTTTCTCAGACAACTTATTTTGATTTAATTTTGAATCAGTTGTCCTGCTCCTCTTAAAGGAGAAGTGTACATTAATACAGAACAATTCGTTCATCCGGCCCTTCCCCTGCCTCTGCCTCTGCTGCAATAAAACAGATATAAAAGTTGTAGTTCAGTGACAGGCTGAGCATTCCTGGCATCTCCTTCTGAAAATGCCAGTTGCTTGTCATGCTGTTGGTTGGCATTAGGCCTTTTTGAGTCCATGAACTGGAACAAATATAAGGATAAGTAAGTGATTCAGTAGTATGAAAGAGATAGTCACAAACATTTTCAGGTAGAGGCCTACAAAATAGTAGCCTCTGCATTTCTTAAAGTGCATGTTAAAGGAGAACTATGAGGTGAGTGATTTCCACTCATCCTCATAGTTAGAGCCGACATGTGACAAAGAAGCTGTCACAGATCAGCTCTATTGATCGGGAAGTGAGCGAACACTCCGATCATCTCCCTGCAGTGAGTGGTGACTGTCCGGGATTCCTCCCCTCTCCGATCCCCCAGCGCTGAGTGGAGGAACGGACTGAGCAGGTGGTGGGCACAGCTGGCTCTGCCTCTAGATAGGCAGATCCTGCTGTCACTCACGCAGCTGGGTGGATCTCAACAGACTTTGGGGCCCGGAAAGGGTTAAGTATATGTCCTCCCGTGACCCTGAAGAGAACTATGGGGAAAAACACTTACCCCATAGTTCTCTTTTAAGCCAAAACTTTTTTGTAGTTTTGAATAGAGTAGGTAATGGTCAAGACCCCCAAAGCGCATCTAATGTGCTTTGCTGAAAAAAAATCTTTGCTTACAGAGCTCAAGTAAAGTGACACTAAACTCAGGAGTTACATCTTAAAAATGCATTCAAGTACCTTAAAGATTAACAAAAATGTATCTTATTTGTGTATCAATCAGCTGTAGATGCTCAAATCATCTCTGAATTGGTGCGGACACTGTCCTTCCTTCTGGAGGGTGGCTACTTTTGTTCCCCATGGTCCCCGTGTGTGTTGTAAAGTAGTCACCACTTCAAGCTTGCTCCGGTGATGGACTACAATCTCAATACAAATTAGTAAACTAAATATGACATTGTAGTCCATCACGGCAGTGAGCTTGGAGTGGTAATTACTGTACTTTTACAACACATAGGGACCATGGGGAACAAAAGTAGCCCCCCTCCAGATGTAAGGACAGCGTCAGCACCAATTCAGAGATGATTTGAGGATCTACAGCCGTGTGATACACAAATAATCTATATTTTTGTTAATAGTTAAGGTAGTTCAATGCATTTTTAAGGTTTAACTCTTGAATTCACTTTCAGCTAAGATTTTTTTCACAAAGCTGGATGAGTCAGAGGAGTGGCTCACTCCCCTCACCTGCTCTATTTGTACTGTCTGTATTGAGTTTGGTTAGAGAAAGACTTCTGCTGTGCTACCTGATAAATGCTCTGTCACACCAGTGTCATTAAAGTTTCCTGCATTAAATGTTTATAAATACATATTTTATATAAATAGCGGCAAAATGTATAAAACTATTTTAAAAGCTATAAATTGTTAAAAAAAAAGATAAAAATAAAATGAACCCAAGCAATTATACTTTCCGTTTAAAGCTGAAGTTTAATCTGCTTTTATTTTGCCTTCCCTGGTTCTTCTGGAGGAGTGGTCATTCCTATGCAGGCGGCATTTGCATGCAGACCACCCTAGGTAACGTCTATGGTGGTCTGCATGAGCCTACATAATTGAAAGAACTGAAATCCAGTGATCAAAAGGCGGACCAGGGACAGTCAACCAGCAGAGGAAACGTCTATGATGCTGGACATCCTCCAGCCAGGAAGTGGTGCGGGATCTATCTGACATGCTGCACTTCTAATGCACACTGTGAGGAGCTCAAATCTGTACAGTGAAATCAGAGTAAACAATTTCAGTCCACGAGAGGAGTTTGTACAATTGTGTAAGACTGAAGGGAGGGCTGGAGTTCAGCTTTAAGTTTGTGGCCATCCAAAGAGTCATGCCACATTAGTAGTTTTGCTGCAGCTACAATTCTCTCTGCTTACTTTCTCTGGTGACTTATAGCTGTCTACAATGTCTGTCTATGCAGCTATAAAATGCTGGTGTGAGATGATCATTAGCTGCTTTAGATAACACAATGAGCTGCTAAGACTGGTGACACCCTGTAGCTAGCTTTAACTCTTTTGCTGCCAGAGGCATTGTTGCTGATTTTTTGCACGCATGTTAAAATGCTAATTTTAGGCCTGAATTTGACAGCCACCTGCATCACTTCCACTAAAAGGCTGACAGTCGGCTTTACACTTATATAAAGCTGCTATAGCAGAGTCTGCTATAGGCTACACTGCTGCCACTGTATTCAGCAGCAGCGAAAGGGTTAAACGCCATAAAAAAATCACTAGAGACCGAGATACCAGCTGCTGGAATCGCTGCGACACAGACCTTTCATTGACTGCAAATGATTTTTTCCTTGCAACAGGAACACTAAGGGGATCAATTCTGCAGCTGATATAAATCCCCGCTACAAAATCATCACTGTGACATGTCCCTAAGGGTGTGAAGAAAATAGTAATACTGTAGGTGATTAGGGGGTTAGTAGCTATGCCTAAGCCCTTTTTTGTACCCCCTACATTCCTACTGCTACGCAGCCTTAGTTTCATGTTCACATTTAACTGCATACAATATAAGATCTGAACAAGAATTATACCCAGGAAGGTATTTTTATGCTAAAGTGAATAAGCCGTGTGTCCTTAGGAGCTCATTGATAGCAAATGAAATAAGATTCACCTCTGCAGATGGGAAGAGCTGTGGGTAATAAAGCTTTCGCATTAAGCTCTGGCCTTTGCTCTGTGCAGTCATTGCATCCAGCAGTATGAGAGCCCAGCTGGAATCTGAATTATTGGAGGGCGGAGGGCAATGGCCCGTACATTAAACTCTTGTATAATGGATAATAAAAGTGATAAAGGCTCTGGGTGTTTCACCTGTTCACCTTATGCTCTTTATATAATATATATGTATAGCTTCGTCTTCTTTGATTTTTTTTTTCCTGGAAATCATCTTTATTTATTCCTCTCCATTAGATGCTCATCTCCTGTTCACTGCTTCCCATCTTGCTGCACACATACTTGCAAGTGGGGATATACAGTATTATTGAATGGCAGGTTCCTTAAGCTGGCCATACACGGATTCTCGAAGGTCTGTCCAAAATCTGCTCCCTAGGTGGCCCAGTTGGCAGTGTCCCATTCCACATCCTTTGATCTGTAAATCGGAAAGTGATCGAAAATCAGTCACTGTTCAGGTATTCTGATAGAGGCACACCTGCCGATATCAGAATACAACAGCCGGAGCGGGAGATCCTTCCATCCTTGATGGAGTTTTTCATTCAGCCCGCAGTCTGAGGAAAAAACATCTACTAGTGTATGGCCAGCTTTAGATATAAAATCCGTCCAATGAAAAGTACCCAAATACCTGTCTGTCTGTTCTTCCTGTTATGACTATTGCAAAACCTTTTGCAGCTCATGTCACAACAGTCAGGACAGTCCTGCTAATCTAGTATATGCCAGAAGGCCAGAGTGCTCAGCAGGATCTTTGCACTGGTGACATATAGAAGATACTTGGTATAGTTCAGTTCTGTTTAAGGGCCCATTTTTCATACAACATTACCCTCTAGCCCTCTGCCAATTCCTACCTGTTTTTTTTACTGTAAAGTTGCCCTTCATGCCTCATAAACATTTCACCCATCTGTGGAGATAAAGATGTATATTCCCACAGAGTGTTTGTGTTTTTATCAGGGGGTCACCTGAATTCCCTGAGGCCTATATGAGATATTCTGCAGGCAATGAAAGCAAGTTTACAGCACAAAATCATTATGCTTTCTGAGATAGTATAGTACAGTAGCAATCATCTGGGTCCAACTTGGCCAGCTGATTCTTTCTCCAATTCCATTCTCCCAGGGAAAATGGCAGATTATGTATATAGACACCTTGGAATTCATAAAGAGAACCTACGGCATTTTCATCGTGCATGCACACAACAAATGACGGTGCTTGCTTGGAGACAGATACATAAATTTGGTGCAAGTACCACCATACTGGACATTCCATCCTCCAGTGCAGCTAAGTAACGCTAGCTATTGTCTATTCAACCACTGCCTGCTGTCAATCAGTAGCAGAGTGGGCCTGGTGGGGAACTAGTCCCTCAGCACTGTTGCTAGGACACCGGCAGCGCAGTTTCATTGCAACCAATGAACCATGAGCTGGAAGGTGTTACATTCATTCCCCTCACTGCCCCACTGTGAGCACTGGCATCTCTCTGTACACCTAATCAAAGTTGGTCCTAATTACTGCCAGTTCTCTGGCGATAATTCATTTTTAATCTGTCACAGCCATAGTGACTGATTCTATAAGTGGTGCTATTAAGAACTACCTGAATCTGATGTAAGTGTCGGTAAAGTTACTGAAACTGGCCACAGGGCTTTTCTGAAGTTGGTGCAGGTCCTTTTAAAGGCCCATATCACCAGAAAGGTGGCGCAAAGCCTTTATTGAATTCTCCCCTGGCCTAGCTGGCTGGTTCTAGCAACAGTTATGACCACCTTGAGGTGATACAATGAGTGATGCAATGAAAACCCAAAGGAAATGGCAACTTTAAAAATAAAGGAGGAATAGTTAAAGAAATGTGTTGCTTTTTAGAAAAAAATATACAAGGCTGCTTATGCTGCTTCTTCCTCTGCCAGTCTAAGATCTGCTGTATGGGTGATTGCAAAGGGTAAAACCAAGTAACATCCAGATATTTATAGTGCTTGCATTAAAAAACGCATTTCATGATGTATTCATGAATACAGAGCTGCATTCATTTGTGTATTTTACATCTGCCTGGGGTTTAGCTCTAAAAGATTAAAAGGAATGCGGATTTATCCTACCGTCATGCAAGTTTAGAACACATTTACTGTTCAGTGGAGTTCTCTTTTAACCCCCGTTAAGACTTCATGCGTCTCTTTTTCCTTTCAGACGCTGTCCTTTGACTTGCACCAGAGACTTTCTGACAGCGAGAATACTGCTTCTGCTGTGAGTATAGGATATGACAGGAGGAATGCTCTGATTTATCGCTAATCCTATTTCTTTGCAGCAAAGTGCAGGCTGAAGTATAATTATACAATAGTCCTGATGTCATTTGTAGAATTTCTCTGCTAGGCTGCAAATGCACCAGTTTTCTGTGACATTTTAGTGTAATGAAGATGTCACAACCGGTTTAGCATGTGTCACTTTTTATTTCTTAACACACTTGCTGCCTGCAGGCTTTGCTCAAGTATCCAGCTCTGCCCAGGGATTACATTAGATATTTCAGCTAGCAACTGCCTTCCACAGTGTGCCGCTGATCTTCTGATATGACTGTCAAGTTCTTAAATGCTTTCTAAAGTGTCCGCCACAATGGAAGAATGGATTAACAACATCCTTCATTCCAGAGTTTTGTATATTAAAGAGAACCTGTGAGGACTGGCAGTGCAATACTAAACGGCTGTCCAGTTTATTTCAGCACAATTCTGCTTTTAGCTGTCTGGATCCTTCCATAGTCTCTAAGCCCCGATGCAGGGGATCTTTTTGGCCCCAAAAACATGTTGGCTGTAATTGTATCCTGGTGGCCATCAGACATTTAATTAAAGACTTTGGACTCCTATGAACTGATTTGGCGCTCTCATTTAATCTAATTATTACACGTGGGCACTTTAACGTCTGTCTTTTATTTATTTTTTATTTAATTTAGCCAACATTAAGCTCTGGGCATTGCACCTTTACAGGGAATCTTTAACATCTAGTAATTTGTGGTTTAAATATGTGTCTATAACTATATGCATTATCTGTCACATTTGGCTTAATAAAGGGGTTCTGCATGACTCTTAAATGCTGCATCTTTATGGCCCTGTTCACACTTTGGGATTTTGTGAATGCGCATCGTGTTCGTGCGCGTTTTTGCCGCCGTTGCCGTGCATCAGACAATTCATTCAATGGGCTGCCCATGCACAACAAACGCGGCAAAAGTAGCTCATGCTGCAGATTCTACTGCAAGCATACCGTGGTTTTTGACCATGTGTTTGTAAACATTTAACAAACGACAATTCACAGGAAAAAACACACGTTTTGTCCAACATATTTGGGGCGCTATTAAAAAGTAATGGCACCGCAAGCACATCGCACATTTTTAACACGTTGTACCAATGTCCATGGAACGCCAAGGTGTGAACGGTGCCCATGAAATTACTATCAAGCTTCAATAAATTGAACTTTCATATGAGAAATTATGATGAGCTGGCAACATTCTGTATTCTATTTCAGGGCTGGACAAATCCCAGGAGCCAGGTAGCCAATGCTCCTTAAATACAGCGGGTGCCTAACTTTTGAGGGTTTTCTCTATAAATGTTGTCAATGAAGCTAGCTACTGAAAAAAATCCTGCTGGCTCTGGGATTGCACAGACTGGCTCCTAAATTCCATATTTGTTCATCACTGTATCTCTCTGTTGTTTACTGCAGCCCCCTATCCAATATGGTGTGCAATGGAAATATGCTAACCAAAGTGGGGCTGTGGTATAGACTCTTAAATGGAGAGAACCTGTCTGAAAGGTTTGTAAAATCTATAATTCTCTGTAAATCAGGCACACTCAGATTTGTATTGTTTTTGTAGATAAGTCTTTTATATGACCAGCAAAAATGATATTAAATATCAGTTGAAAAAGTTAAATACCAATAGACTAAAACCATTATACTTTCCTTTTATTGCTGCATCTCACTTAGGGCTTGTGCACATCGAATGCGGTGCGTTCCAGAGTGGTAGCTGCTGGAACGCACCGCTATCCCTCACAAAAGTTACCCCTGCGTTGTGGGGCGGGAGGGAGCTAGGTGGTGCATTGAATTCAATGGCACCGCTTCCACGCTCTCCCCCCCCCGCCCCCCAAGGGATTACGGTGCGTTCCAGCTACCACTCTGGAACACACCGCATTCGGTGTGAACAAGCCCTTAAAACACTAAACTCAGAAGTAAAACTGAGCAAGGATACACTATAGTTTCCTTTTCAGGTATTATTAATGTATCTTATTTGTGTATCATTCAGCTGTAAATCCTCAAATCATCTCTGAATTGGTGCCGACACTGTCCTTCCTTCTGGAGGGTAGCTACTTTTGTTCCCCATGGCCCCTGTGTGTATTGTAAAGTAGCCACAACTTCACATTCACTCCCGTGGTGGACTACAATCTCAATACAAGTTAATAAACTAACCCTGAGACTGTATTACATCACGGGAGTGAGCTTGGAGCGGTGGCTAATTTACAACACACAGGGACCATGTGGAACAAAGGTAGCCACTCCAGAAGGAAGGATAAGATCAGCCTGAATTCAGAGATGATTTGAGGATCTAAAGCTTAGTGATGCACAAATCATCTATATTTTTGTTAATAGTTAAGGTACTTGAATGCATTTTTAAGGTTTAACTCCTGAGTTTAGTGTCATTTTAAGTGAGATGCAGAAATAAAAGGAAACTATAATTGTTTTAGTCTGTTTAATGGAACTTTTTTAACGGATGTTTAATATACTTTTTTACTGGTTATATAAAATACTTATTTACAAAAAACATTATTGTAAATTATTATAATAAAATAAAATGACTCAATGTTAAGAATGTTAATGTTATGAAAACAAAAAAAAATATTATTGATTTCAGGAGGAATAGAGAGGATTTCACAGCGCTATAGAAATGATGATTGTGTGGAGCGGGTTTCCACCTTTAAATTTTAGGTATTTATCCTCATTTTTAAGGACTCCTTAATGACTGGTAGGATAATAGGTTGGACTTGATGGACTAATGTCTTTATTCAACCTCAAATACTATGTAACTATATTATTAAGAAAGGACAGCAGCAATTAAATTTTCTGAGAGTACTCAGGAAATGCAGTCTGGGAGAATAATTGCTGGTGAGCTTTTACTGCTCTTCTATTGAGAGTGTCCTGTTGTACTTATATTTCAGTGTGGTACACTAGTTGCTCAGCAGGCGACAAGACTGCTCTTCAGAAAATTGTTAATACCACACAGACAGATATTGGATAAATCAAGAAACATACAAACGCGTGTGCCTACAATTTTGGAAATGGTGGCTACAGTTTTCATTTTTTTGCCCTGCAAAAAGAAAAGAGGAAATGAGAAAGTGAATGAAAGTCCTAAAGAGTCCCATGGAGGACAGTTCATGGGGAATTCTTGTGGCCTGCTGCTCCAACTTTGGTTGGGGATGAATCCAAAATACTAAAGTTAAAAAAAAACTAAAGATAAAAGGGCATTAACAACCATACAGGAAAAAAAAAAAAAAACATGAGTGAATGTCAACTCTCTTCTATGGCCGGTCTTTTTAGTTTTTGCAATCCTTGAAGAGCAAAGAGTAGTGTGAAGGATCCTTTGCATCCCGGTCATTATTTATTTGAATTGTTGCCTTTGGGTAGACATTATAGAAATATTAAAGCCCAACTAAAGACAAAAACTATTTCCATACCACCCCTTCTTCCCCCCCTCTAATATATCCTGCCAGGTGTTTCTTTCTTCTTACATGGTGAAGCAAATTATACTCACCTGAGCCCCACATCCAGGTCCCTTACTGAGGCTGTGTCTGCCGGCAAAGACCACTAATTTAGTGCCACATAGTAGCGCTCGCTGGCTGGTCCCCTTGATCCCCCTTGGGCCAACGTCGGTAGCCTCTCTGGATCCTCAGAGGACACTTCCGGTAGACAGCAAATGGGATTTGTCCACATCATGCAGGCAATGATGAGGACACCTGGAAGAAGGACCCCAGCAAGAGGTAAACAAAAAAGAAAAGGTTTCGGCACTGAATAATCACATGACCGTGGCTTAGCATAAGTTAAAGCAGGACTTAAAACGTTTTTTTTCCAGCCCAATGATCAGTGAGGGGGAGGTGGGGGTTGGAGGTAGTGATGGAGGTTTTTATTCTATCCTGGAGTTGGGCTTTAAAGTGACATTAAACCCTCAGATTTTTTAACATAAACCAATACTGTAACCAATACAGTTAAATCCTCATGTCTTGTCATGCTTGGGGAGAACTTCCCTTTGCAGCTGAGTGCCTCTTCCTGTAGTGCTGGCTCAGGTTGCAAACGTACACACAGACACCATGTAGCCATTCCAGAGACAAGGCAGTCTGCTGCAAAACAGAAGTTCTGCCCAGCATGAGAACAGATACAGATTTAAAAGGAAGAGCAGCAAAGAGAAGGGAAACTACCATGGATTACAGTAAGGCACACATTACAGTATTGTTTTATGTTAAAAAATCTGAGGGTTTAATGTCACTTTAAGACATGGACAAATAGATTCAGAGATAGTTTCTTTCCCAGGGCTATAAATTCACTTAACATAATCAAGTAAATAATCTATGCCGTAATATTCATAATGGATTAGTGCAATAGTGAGAAGATAAAAAAGGGTTAAACGGTTTTACACCTTATTGTATTTTAAATTATTTTGATCAATTTTAATTATATCTATTATACAGGTTATTATTTTTTTAATAAATATATGTTATGTTATAGTTATGTGTTGAAGGTATTGTTTTTAGGACTGGCATACAAACTTGCATTGTATGTATCATACAATGACAATAAAGTCTTTCTGTTCTGTATGCCACCAACAGAGATCAGCATGGGCACAGCAAATGCTGCCACCTTGTACAGTACATTGGGCATGCCTTTGTCTTACACATAGACAACTCCACTGAGCCATTTACATATTGATATAAGCCTGACAGTACTACCATCAGGATTTTGTTTTTGCATGGAGGTGTTAGATTAACAAGGTAATATAAAACCCTTATGTATTCCTATACAGTATACAGGTGAAACTCGAATAATTAGAATATCGTGCAAAGTTCATTTATTTCACTAATGCAACTTAAAAGGTGAAACTAATATATGAGATAGACTCATGCAAAGCAAGATAGTTCAAGCCGTGATTTGTCATAATTGTGATGATTATGGCTTACAGCTCATGAAAACCCCAAGAACCCCAAATCCACAACCTCAAAAAAGTAGATTATTACATGCAATCAATAAAACAAGGATTGTACATAGAACAATATCGGACCTCTGAAAAGTACAAGCATGCATATGTACTCAGTACTTGGTTTGGGCCCCTTTTGCAGCACTTACTGCAATTACTTTTGCACGATATTCTAATTATTCGAGTTTCACCTGTAAGTGTATGTATATAGGGATATCTATCTTGTTGATAACCAAAGGCACCGATAAAGTTTTATGAACTGTATAACATGATTTGGTGATACCACCTCTCTGCTCTTCTCCACAGTATCTATTCCTGGTGAGACATGAGATGAGAGTTTCCCAGAAATCTGTGGACGAATTCTGCAGCGCTCTGAAGCAATATCTGAAGAATGTATCTGGCCAGGGAGAATGCTTTCAGTAAGTCACCAAGTCGGTCATTAATGCAAGTGTGGAAAGATGTAAATGGATTTACAATTTTTAGTCCTTCTTCACCTAGTGAATATGCCAGTAGTGGAGGGGTTATTATCATGAAAACCGCATCCAGCCAGGCTCAGTCTTGACAGTTCAGCAGCCGAAGCAATTGCCAGAGATGCTAAAAGCACGTCGGGGCTGATCTGGACTACATGGATATAATTATCATACAGCAAGTTCAGCACTTTGCTCCTAATACTTAAAATAATAAGTCAAAGGGTTTCCAACCATGGGACATACACAGATCAGCAATAACATTATGACCACTGAGAGGGGAAGTGAATAACATTAATTTAGCTTGTTACAATGACACCTGGATGTGGGTGGGATAAATTAAGCAGCAACTTAACATTTTGTCCCTGAAGTCCATGTTTTGGAAGCAGAAAAAATGGGCAAGTGTAAGGATTTGAGTAACTTTGACAAGGGGCGAATTGTCATGGTTAGACGACTGGGTCAGAGCAACTCCAAAACTGCAGCTCTTGAGTGATGTCCCAGGTCTGCAGTGGTTAGGAACTACCTAAAGTAGTCCAAGGAAGGAAACCCGGTGAACCGGCAACAGGGTCATGGGCAGCCAAGGCTCATTGATACACATGGGGAGCGAAGGTTGGCCCATGTATTCCGATCCAGTAGAAGTGCTACTGTAGCTCAAATTGCTGAAAATGTAATGCTGGTTCTGATAGAAAGGTGTCTAAACACACAGTGCATCAGTTTGTTGCTTATGGGGCTGATAATCCTGCATAGTCATAGGGCTGCGGTAAGGGTGCTTGTGCTGACCCATTTCCACCTACAATGGTGCTTCATTGTGTACACTTTTTTGTGAGATGAATAGGGATGCACCAATACCGATACTAGTATCATTCTCGGTGCCGATACCAAGTATTTGGGCGAGTACTCGTACTCATGCAAATGCTCCCGATGCTTATTCCTATACCAGAACATCCGGTATCAGGAAGCCAGGTGGCGAGTCATTACACGCTGCCCGGCTTCCTGATTGGCAGGGAAGACGGCTCCATGCTCCCTCATCACCAGGGAGCATGTAGCTGGCTTCCCAGCCAATCAGGAAGCCAAGCGGCGAGTCATTACCTGCTCCCCGGTTTCCTGAGTGGTCAGAAAGCTGACTCATCACTTGGTGACGAGGGAGCATGGACACGGCTTCCCAGCTAATATGGAAGCCGAGGGGCGAGTCATTACACACCGCCCAGCTTTCTTAATGGAACTTCCGTTTATCGGTATGGGCGAGTACCAAAAAAAAATATCGGTGCTCGTACTCGAAAAACTGGTATCGGAGCATCCATAGAGATGATGATTAAGTATGCTTTTTAGGGACATTGCAGAACTGCAAGGATACATATTAAGAGAAGTAATAAAAATCCATGATATAACTTTATGTCTCCAGTGCCTACTAAGTAAGGGAGTACAAATGTGACCGATGACTGTTTTATACTTTCTTAGACTCTAGGAACACCCCAGCAATTCCTGCTTCTCATCTGTTTTATTTTAGTGTTACTGCTGTAAGACTGACGGATATGGTAACATTTATTGTGTATGAATTCTGGGAAACAGAGGAAGATTGGAAGAGGTGAGTGACCTGGTATCTGGATCATAATGGGAATCATCTATTTTGTAGCACAGCTATGAAAGAACAATATCTGATACTGTAAATAATGAAGTATCAGTTATATAACTTGCTAGGGGTAAACCAGGTATTTTCTGTCATATAATAAAAGTGTGAAATTTTGTGACATTTTCTTCAGATAGTAGTAAAAAGGCAAATCTGTGTACAGATTATAAATAGTAACATAAATATAATTTGCTTTGGGGAAAAATGCCTTCAAAATCCCTGGTTCCCTACATCTTCAGGATATGGTTGTGCTAATTTCATTCCCCTCTATCCCCAGAACTTAGCTTCACCATCACAATCTCCTCCACCTCCAGAACTTTTTTCCACAGTCCCCTCCTCTTTCAGAATATGCTTCAACCATCCTTAGTCGCCTCCACCACTGGAATATGCTGTTACTATCAGCGTTTCCTCCACCTCCAGAACATGTGTCCACCATTCCCGGTCCCCTCCACCTCCAGAACATGTTTTAACTGTCCCCGGTCTCTTTCATTCTTCGTTGGCTTCACTTCCAGAACACATGTCCACCGATCCACTCCTCATTTAGAACATGGCTTCATCATCCCTGTTGCCTCCACCTTCAGAACATGGCTCCTTATTTCCCTACCCCTCCACTACCAGAACATACATTCACCATTCCCAATCCCCTCCACTTCCAGAACATGCCCTATTCCCAGATCTCTCCACTTCCAGCAAATGTCTCTGGCATCCTCAATGCCCTCCACCCCTGCTACATACCTCTGGCACCCTCTCTCCATCCCCCTTAACTTTCAATGCATACCTCCCCAGTCCCCTGCACCTTGTCCATGATTCCCTCCAACTCCAGTTCATGTCTCCACCATCCCCTAACACTGGCCATACACCTAACAGTTTTCAGGCCATCTCAAGCTTTTTTTGATCATAAAGAATATGAATCAAGGGAACACAACACTAACTGTTTTGATTGTTTCACACTTTTTATCAGAACTGTTGGTGAAGGGGATGACTCCCATACAAAAAAAATCACTACAATGCATTAATCTGCCACAGATTTATGAGACAGGGGAGAGCAGTTTACATGGAACAATTGGCTGGAGTTATGTTGGCTTGATCAGCTCAGCATAGAAAATGCACACTGTGATTTTCAGTCTAAACAAATGCAGCGTGCAGAAATGCTCAAGTGTTATCCAGAATTTGTTACTCATTAAAGCCATTTTGTCAGATTTGAAGCAAGATCACCCTGTTGCAAAGCAAATTTACACAATGTAGAAATTCCTTTTACTTACTAAATTCATACTGTCATACCAGTGCCGAGTTATCAGTAGTGTCAGTGCCTTCTGTTTCAATTTGTATAGCCGAAAGCTCCAGAGTCTCGGCCTGCAGATAATTATTCCATGTGGCCACGTCTAGTCTGATGTTAAAGTGATTCTGTTCTTTGCTTATTAGCGGATAAAGCAACTGGTTTGCAGCAGAAAAGCCAAACAGATAGCATTTTCAGAAGGAGGTCAGCAACGGTAGCTTACATACATCTCTCGGTTTAGGCACATTTGAAACCTGAGCATTGCTACTTCAGACCACCAGAGGGGGTAATTTCCTACACACATTGAATGTTCGAAATATACTCTTCTCGGCTATAATTCTGCACTTTAAACGGGACATAAAAGTAACCCTTTATTATTATTATTATTATTATTATAGTTTTCCCCTGCTATTCTAATTTTCCACTCCAGCCATCCTGATAATTTTACTGGAGCTAGAAAGCTCTGCTGGATTAAGTAAAACTTATATGAATTCTTGCCCTGTTCTAGTAGGGAGATTAGTTCCCCCCACGTGTCCCAAGTTTGCCTATGATGTCATAGCAGGGCTGGTTTGTGCACATAGTGTCATCTTGGTAAAAAGTAAAGGTAATAAAGAGAACCAGTCACCAGTGAGCAATTGTAGTGCTCTGAATATCCACTCTTGTGTTTTTATATTGAACACAAATGCTTTGACTACAAAGCGACTCCAACATGGATTTTTAAGATATGGTAATTCAATGTAAAACAGTGTATATAAAAATATACATTTAATTTCACACAATGTAAAAACACATATTAAAAGTGTCCTAATAGATATAACTCAGTACAAGTTCATTCACGCCAGATCAACCTTACAAATACCTTTCCAAAGTCCACAATTTCGTGAAAGATTATCTGATCATAGGAGATGTAGCTGTCCAATAAAGATAGAGACTCAGCGTGGCGCTACAAGGATAAGTAATGCGTTTTGCAGAGTAATATCTGCTTCATCAGACTTCATTGTGCTTGATAATTTGTCTAAAAAAGAATCCCAAATATTAGTATCAAAAAATAACCAACTGAAATGGTGCATATGGTACATAATTTCCATATACATACATGTGTATCTAGGAGCACAGTATCTTCTATCCACAACCAGGCAATAAGTACCCTCTGTCTCTAAAATCCCTGTTAGAGTCGCTTTGTAGTCAAAGTATTTGTGTTCAGTATATTTAGTTTGGGATGTGGTGTAGTGTGACCGTAGTGTCTATGGTGCAAGTGTGATTTTTTTAGAGTCTTGAGTTATTATAATCGTGCAGCTTTACCTTTCAAGGATTGTATTATTATTATTACTATTATTATTACAGGTAATAATATAGTGCTAACAATTTACACATTGTGCATTTACATCTGCCCCTGCGCTTGCCCTTACAATCTAAGGTCCCTAACTCACCTGCATACATTAGGGCTGAGAGCAGTCAATTTACCTAAAAGCAAGTCTGCATGCGTGGGAGGAATTATATGATTTTTTTTTTCATTATTTATTAAAATGATTTCCCTGTCTGAGCAGAAATGTCAGCCTGTAAGACAACGCTGTCTTCTTCCTCAGCACAGTGCTGATAACAGACACTCACAAAACTGCCATATAAGAAAGGTGAGGTCTACATTACATAAAAGAAAAGGCTTTCTTAGTTGACAGGTTTTCCCTGTCCAGATGGGGAAAACCTGTCCAGACCGCCCAGACACTGACAATTATCAGCCCTGAGATCAGGCTGGAGACAGGTCAGTCTCAATGGCCTGACAGAGGTAAGGCTGCACTGTTAGCTACAGTGAAAATTCAGAGTCTCATAAATGCCCATTACTGACTGGTTCTCTTAGAAGCGGATTTTCAAGCACATATGACATATGCTTAAATGCAGCAGCTTGCCCAATTTGCCCAAATTATTTTTTATTGCTATCTACAAAGTGTGCTTAGTGCGTACATTTTCTGTTGAAGGGACTGTTTACCCCAGCTTGGTTTTTGTATGTTGGGTGACTGCTCAGGGTTCCCTAGTAGTTCTATGTCAGGCATAATGATATCAGTGCTACCTGAAGTAGGGGAGCTGCTTGCAGAGAATACTGCGACATTACCAGGGTCTACAGCCATGACAGGTGAGTTCCAAGCTCCTCTGTCACTGACCACACAGCCACATATTGCTCTGCCCTCACTCCTAAGTGCTCCCCCCCCCCCCC